GGCCTGGGGAGCCCTGCCCGGGGACCTCTAGTGGCAGCGCCGCCCCGCCCGAAAGGAAAAAAAAAAAAACAAAACAAAAACAAACAAAAAAAAAACCATAAAACCAACCTACTTTTTTTTTTTTACTTTTTTTTTTTTCTTCCCCGGGCTGGTATGTATTAGTAGCACATTTTAAAAGGTGTAATTTGATTTCTGAAGGCTTAGAATTATCAGACAGGAATAACACGAAGACCTCCATATATGTGGAGTGGGGGAATCAGAAGGCGTAGCCTTCCCAGCGCACCTGTTTTTAAATGCAAAGCTATGGCTATAAACAAATAGATAGCCACGTACTACTTGTACATTTATATACGTACCTAGAAACTTAAATGTTATTCAACACAACCACAAACTCTTTAGGTTGAAGACCTCACATCAGACTCCCTGCTCCCTTGTAAGCAGCATGGCAAAGAAGAAAAGGCTAATGGCCTAAAATGGGGAGAAAGAGGAAGCAGCACGGCATTTTTCCTCAATGACATCTTTGCAAGCCTACTCCACAAACGTATTTCATGACCATGTTCCTAATAATCTGGAACAGTTCTACCATCCTATAAAATCCCCCTTCTCAACGCATACTCCCTAAAAACTGAATCAAAAGACCCCTGACCCAAATACTAATTTATTTTTGGATGCAGCTGCAGAACAATGCAGATGATAGCAACAGGTTTCCCTGAAAAATTTAGGGATACACGGGAACTCCTGCACTCTGGTCCTCCAAATCCTGCCCCCCTGGAGCAGCACGCAGGGAATGCTCCACAGACAGAAGCTTTTAGTTCCCTGCCCACTGCCAGCAGAATCTCGCACTGGGTTTATTCCTGGAAGAGTAACTTTTGACTGACTGACCTCAGCTCACGTCCCCAGGGCCCGTTTTCCAATACATTCTTTGCACAGTTACACATTTTCTTCAGTGCTACAGCAACGAGAGAAACCAACTTAGTAGTCTTTTTGAAAGCTGCAGTCAGAAGTGCAGTGCTGTTTTAATCTCAGTTTTTATGTAGTACCACTGAACATGAAAGACTTTCAAACTTTTATGCCCCCATCAGGCCCTTAGAAAAGTATTCTAAGGGCATGGGGGAAGAAGAAAAAAAAAAAAGTAACCGGAGGTTGACCTGACAGGCAAAATTGCCTAATATCAGCATTAAATGGTTTGGAAATCTCAGACTTTCAGTTATTTCGCTATGCAGACAGGTAGCAATGCAAGCATAGGAAGGCAGTTTAGAGCAGAATTTTCAGAACGTGCCAGGCACACTCATCAGGTTATGATCTGCTGTTTGCATTTATTGCTCTACTGAGCATTTACCCTAAATGAATTCATTTTATCTCAGTACGTCTGACATAATCTTCATTACTTCTGAAGCACATTTATAACACGGAAAACTTGAGTAACTTAACTTCCAATCCATGTCACAAAAGACCAACTAAAAAAAAAAAATAATCCTGACATATAATAAATACTGTAAAGGCAAGTTTGATGAATAACACTGAGATATCATTCAGTAACTTCAGCAGCTGTGCATTCTGCAATGCTAGGTGCTCTCGTATTTGCCTGCTGCATTACTTTAAATTCAGACGCATCTGCATTGTTATAAAGCTACTTCAGCAAAAAGGAACTACCTACTGCCAGGAGTTACAACTCCAGCTGACGACCTCTACAACAACAAGCCTTTATTTAGCAAGTCTGGCATTTTCATGCAAAAGCTAAAAATGTCTTTAGTGGCCAAACTTTTAACATTTATATTTCAACACAAACATGTAGTTTCAAAAATGTTACATTAGAATTTCAGCAACGTGGCTGTGACTGACAGACAATTACTGAGCACTGTGGTACCCTTCCCCTTTACCTACACCTCCCACTCCCCCCTCAATAATTAGTATTTCACTTTACAAAATTTTTTTTAAACAGCCGACAGCGTGTGAAATAAAACTGCAATATATATGATGGTGAAAAAGGGTTCCTGTTATTTCAAAGGCTTAAAATACATATATTTATTTCAGAAATATTTGGGGAGCCAAAAAAAATCAGAATACTCCACCCTCCCCTTGTTTTACCAGTTAATCTTTGACATGACTCCTGGACTGAAAGAGCAGTAGTAAGTGCACATCCCAACCCTCCCCTACCTCCAGAAGCACAGTTCTACAGCCTCTACTTTTCAAAAAGTAAAGGCTTGAAACTCCTCAGTCGTACGGTACACAGCAGAAAGGATCACCCGCTATGTTTTTTTTCACTGTGCCAGCAGTTTTCCCCTTACCTTGTGCAGCGATCCAAAGACACCGAGTCTCCTTTCACATACGTGTAGCTGAAAAAACCCCACGGCGCTCCAAGACTTTTTCTCCCGGAGCCATCTCATCTGTATTCCTCAGGAACTGACTTACTGTGTTCCTCTCGTCCGAAACAGCTGCTATCTGGGCTAACCCACCGTCTTCTCAGATCACTCATAGTGAAAACATTCCTCACTTCCTGTCTCAAAAAACTCGCTCTGGATATCATTCCACTGGGTAAAGAGCTGGGGGTGGAAGAAAATATTACAGCAAAATAAACCTGTGCCAGCCAGCTCGTCAGGCAGCCTCTTTCATGTGACGCTGCGCTGCATGAGCGCAAATTGCGTTCTCGGGAATATTTTCAAATCGCCCCGTCTCTGTGTGCCTCTGTGTGTGTGCATTTAATTTCTTTTCCTGGAGGCGTTCCCCTCGCTCTATCCATGCGGAAGGATACGCTGAAAGAATTAAAGCGAAGGCCCCGTATGCTTGTAGCCCATTACCTCAGAGAGTTGGAATGCCTGGCAGGGAGAATGTCAGCAATGAACAGCTGCTTCTCTGGCTACAGGGGCATTACAGAAATAGGGGATACAACAAATAGCAGGCAATCCTTGCTTTTTTTAATCATATGATCATTTATTTTAAGCCTTTCCAATTAAGGTAAATCTCTTACCAAAATAACCTGTCAGTCTTATTTTCACACAGCTTGGAAATATTTGCAAGGTTGAATCCATGTGTGTCATACCAAATGACCTATGCACGTACATTTATGTCCGCAGCTAAAAACAAAAGTCCTTGCAAAGCTTCAGCTCTTGGTAACATACACAGCAAGAAAATGCAGACTAAAGACTGATCTTTCAGCCCTTGTCTGAGCTTAAAACTCCCAAATGTGTCAGCAGAAATTATGCCCTTAAATAACAACTGTCTTAGCAAGAATTAAATGCATATCAATTAAGTTACATTTATAATGCTTAACCAATGTAAACATCATATAAGGGGCTGCATTCCAGTCCCAAAAATATATGGAAACTTCTGTGTGTGTTTGCACGCGTGTGAAATCAGCAACTGTTGTTGGAATTGAATGGTTCTTCACATTGCCTGAGCCAGGGAAAAGTATATACAAACCTGAAACGGGTCAGGGATGAGGAAAAAGGTGAAGTGAGTATGTGAACGCTGACTCATAACTGTATGGAAAGTGTTTTGCTAATGTGAGGCGCACAAACATGCTACTGTCTGAGCAGGTCTAACCTGCAGATCTACTATGCAAATAGCATGTTACTCGGGAGGACACTAATCTCAGCTGAAATACATAGGCAATTTTGTGCTATGAAGAATTCTTTTGAGTTATTTCTCTTAGACACAATGGTCTTTCCTCAGACCAGGGAAATCTTGCCTTTTTTTTTTCCCCCTCCATACATCAGCCATAGTTATGATGAGCAGTCCATAAGTCAAAAAAAGAACTCATTCAAGGGAATTTTATATTGAGTAAAATAAACTGATTTTGAACTAACCTAAATGGATACCCTTTTCTAATGGTACCTGCTACAGGCCAGAACTACAGCTAATCGCCGGCGAAAACTGATTGATACAACACATGACAAATCCAGGCCATGAAAATGCAGGGTAACAGAGGCAAACCCTAAACAATTTCATACTGGAAACAAGGTCTCAATTCTCTTATCTGTCACATTTCCTATCCTAAATCTTGATCACACCCATTTCCTGCCTGATTCACTACCTAAAAGTTGCATTTATTAGAGTTTTCTTACATTCCACAGTTAGTCCTTGCTGTATTTTTCTTCTTCGCATTTACGTTAAAGACAACATCTCATCTTAAAAGAGACAGCCAGAACATTGTCAATATGCTCCTCTGCAGCCTACATTTTCTCCTTTTGAAGCTCATCAAACTTTTATTCCTGAATTACATTTTTTTTCTTCTGCTTCCTACTACCCCAATTTGTATCCTAACTGTGTGTTTTTCCGCACTTTCTCCATTTTGCCCTATCTCATTTTTTGCCTCATCAGCTCTCCATTACCTGCTTTGCTCCAGCTATCAACTCTAATAAAAAGGGCAAAAGACAAAGGCATCCATGAACATGTGATGAACTCTGATAAAAACACATCAGTAAGACATCGAGTGATTGCCTCAGGGCTCTTCTGCTTCTCCCCTTTAACCCCGGGTCAACACTCATGACATGCATGGGTAAAGCACCCGCATCTTTTGCTGTACTCTTCACTCTCTTGTTGAAGATTATGGGAGGAAAGGACTAACATCCTGTAGCTGAATGTTGCAGCCCTTGTTCCATAAGTACAAAGAAATGTTTCTGCACATTGGGTTGAATATTGCCTGCCCACAGTGGAACAGAGATAAACCTATTTTGTTCTTATTGACATCTTCCCTTCTGGGACAGTTTTGATTGTTTTTTCCATCCTGGTGCAAATGATTGCAGTTGAGTGTATCAGCCAACAGGGTGAAGGTTCGTATTCACCTTGTTCTGATTTTGGGAACTCTGTCCAGCTTCAAGTCTTTGCATTGACTAATGGTAAGACAGAAGGTTGGAAGTGAGCCAAATAGGAAGTAGGATCAGTCACCCTCCAGGAAGGAAAGTGGGATGCATGTGTATACTCCTCAGCCACAGTGATAAAAGCACAGGCAGGATAATCCAGAAACTACCAGTTAAAGGGGCATTCCCAGGATGCTGAAACAATGAAGAAGTCATGTGGAAAAATATCTTGATTTACTCACTAGCCATGCAAAATAGTGACTTCATGAGCTGGAAAGTCAGAATACCTCTGATACTACACGTGACTCTTAAAGCTGTTCTCTGAACAAATTCACTTTATTCGTCGCTTCTGTGCTTTGGCTCTGTGTCTGAAGCCTCCCTGTCTTTTTTCATCATTCCATTTCTTATCTGTGAAAAAGCAAAAGATAGCTGGGTCTTTATGCATCATCACCTATTTCTTGATGGTAGTGGAAAGAATGGAAGGTGCTAGAAAAATGAGCATACCATATGTCTATTACATGCTTGAAGCCTGAAATTTCATGTTTGCAAGATTCATTTTTACTTATAAGGTACTGTAAAATGTTGAACCATGTTCTACTACATAACTAATTAAGGGTAGAGAATTTTCCTATTAGAAGAAAACAGGCAGTTTTCCTACAATGAAGCAATGAGCTTCAAGTTATTCACAAAGGATACTTTTTCTTTTAAACACAGTATTTCTTTCTAAAGCAAATCCATTAGTTATGAAACACACTCAATTCCTATTTCTGTCCTTCAATAATTAATACAACTTATTTGAAATCTTAAGAGAGCAAAACATGTATCTTGAAATGGAATGCTGTAATTAAACTAACCTGTTACTAGTTGTATCTTACTGTAACACCAGTATGTTATAAGTAAAGCCAGGCAAACAGCTCAGATCATTAGCAATAATTAGTCTAGGCTATCTCTGTATGATGTTTGGTTTATATTAGGAGCAGTGATGCAGAAAGAGATTAATACAGCTGTTAACTGCAACGCCTGGAGTTTATTTTACCCAGCGGCATTACTTGTAAAAGACCCTTTATTCGTAGGCTGGGCTTTCTATAATGTTACCCGTCACTAAATCAGCCGAAGCGAAGCGAGGATGTTGGTGCAAAAGACAAATGGTACGCCTCAAACACGACTTCTTTTGTGCTTGCTGTGACCTGCCCTGTAGTGTTTTCTCCACATAGTTCTTCCTCCCTCTGCAACTCATCTCTTGTAGCAATAAGACTAGCAGATGCTGCTCTTTCAAAAAAAGCCAAACAATCAAACACCCAAACCAAGACCACAATATGTGATTTTAAGGCTTATCAGTCTAATGTGGGGTCACAAAACTACAATTCAATACTAAAATACTTTCATAGTATAGCTGTAGTATGGCATTAAAAGTTACTTTGATACTTTGTGTATTGCTATAGCATAATGTATTTGTTTTTTAACAAACATCTTTAAATCTTTGATTTTTGTACTTGTTAAGAAAAAACATTAATATTAAAATAACCTTGTAGTTAATCTTACGGCATTCATACTTATCCTAAGCCATATGGCAGGACTTTACAAACCAGTTTTATGAAAAACAGGAATGAAGAAAGAGGCAACCTAAAAAACGCTGAATGTGACGCTTGAGTAATCAAGAGCAGACCCTCTGACACTCAACTACTTAGAAATACGCCAGAAGATACCTTTATTTTCTTCATTCTAGGGCCAGACTCCCGGCGGAGGGCTCGGGTCTGCGGTGACGGGT